GATATATTGAACAATAACATACCAATTTAATGTCCTGATATTGTCCGGAGCATATCTTCTACATGAATGGAGGGTTTTCATAGTTGCTGGACACCAATGTCCACCATTATACGATGTTATGTCAAACACTTGAACTAGGCTAGAAGATCAAAGGTGATGGCCGCACCGAGATGCAAGAAGACAAATCTGTTATGTGTAATGCTCACACTTCAGGAAACTTTATTATTATATTCTAAACAAAAGTACCAACTAGACCTTTAAAACCTGTTAATAACCTTTTATTATGAACAGTTAAGAAACATCAACACTGACCAAAAGTGCTACACAAATTAGAAATCAAACTGATTGCATGTATACATAAACGATCTACTTTGCACGTGCCTTTGCTATTCAATTAAGATTTAATCGAATTTTAGAAATTGCACTAAAAAGCAACGTAAATAAGTTATCATCTTAAAAATGCCTCGGATGAAACCCGCCGAAAGAGATACATTTCCGGTGCGTACATACTGTTGGTGTAGATTTGCGATTTTTGTAATGTGCCGCACAAACACCGTTGTCATCTAAATATAAAAACAATTTATTTACTGTGTTGTTTGCTGTGCTTTGTACACACTTGTCATTTTCTGTTAATTAAACAAACAAAAATGGATCGATGATTGTAAATTCTAACCTGCCGTCATCAACATGCCTATAGCACGTGCTATTTTGTCGGGTCTCACTCGAGAAATTCAAAGGATTATTACCTTTTAATGCTGTTTTTTATGCCAGACGTTTTGAAATTCCTAGCGTTTTTAACATTCACTTGTGCTATAACGTACATCATTTCGTGTTTTACCAGGTAAGGTAATTTGCAGTTGGAAACAGAAACATCAATCACATGTAATCAAACATACCGAGGAAATACAAACAATTTTGATAAGGTTTTTTAGAGTCATATAGTTGATATGTTTATTTTGAACCAATCCATGTAGTGTCTGAATATTGCATATGTAGAACTAACAAAGGTGTAAGACCATGTCCTTTTTATTTTAAAACACAACAAGTGTTTAGGTCATCACTTTTTATTGAAGAAACTATAAAATGGTACAAAAATATATCAGTGAAATATTCTTTTATTTCATGCTTTCCAGTGTTTTATTGTAATATATCAGATGATTATATCCTGATAGACCACTTGTGAAATTTATAAAATATAATTTTCACAGTAGCCGGACTATATCTGAATGCGGATGAAAAGAAAATCAAACTAAATGGAATAACAAGTAGAAAAAATGCCGTCATACGTAAATTTTGCTTCTTTAGGAAAAGAAAGTCGATGTCATCATACATCATGTTAAAAATGTAACAAAATTAGAGAAATTTAACTGAACTATATTTCAAAATTGATCATGTGACGTCATGATGTGATGACGTCACAAAGGAGAATGCGCGACGTTACGCGGCAAAATCAATAAAAAATACTTAAATCACTTAAAAAGCATGAAATAAAAAGAAAATGTATTTGTTTTACATATAAGATTGAAATATATTTCATTCGTGAACACCAGCTATTATATTTTCACGAGTGGCTACGCCACTCGTGAAAATATTGCATCTGGTGTTCACTCAGTGAAATTATATTTTAATCTTACATGCAAAACAAACAAATATCCTCTATATCACAGTAGGTTGTTATCAATAAGGTGGTTTTATACTTGGCTTTGCTATTTTGTCAAGATCTGGCTCGAGTAATTACTGCACACAGAGGACAGTTTGAGCAAGTAACAAACAACTAGTACAACTTAATATGTAAAAACATATAAAAACTAATAAGTTAAAATTCTTTATAAAACAACGTTTATACATAATAATAATGAAAATATTTTTCGGATGATATTTGGCTGACAAGCTCTATCATATATACCGCTACTAAATTATCTGCCACAAGCGCATGCATGGCTCCAAATGTAAATAAAAAGATTATTTACTTAGCAGAAAAATTGTGTTAGATTTGAACTTATTATTATTTACAAAATATTTTTTACTTTCAGGTTTATTGAAAATAAAATACATGTACAAGCTTGTAAGTACTAGTCATTTAGATTGTTCTGAAAGAAGACAAAAAGCGTTTTCCAAATTAATAATGACTAAATTGGTGAAGTTGCATTGCTTGACATCAATTGTTTATAAGGAAGAATAAACTAGAAATGTGTCCATAGGACACGGATGCCCCCACACGCCACTGTTCTGTCAATCTTATGACTCTAGGTCAAATATTTTTAGACTACATGTGCCACAAGTTGAAAACTAAAAATCAACAAAGGGCCATAATTCTGTTAAATTTGGTCACAGCAAAAATTCCTTCCTTAACTACCATCTACACATTAAGGTTGTTCATCCCTGGAAGTGTAAGCAAAATCTGCCATCCGGTTTAAGAGGAGTTGCATTTACAAAATTTTTACATGGTATATAGTGAAAAAATCAACAAAGGGCCATAATTCTGTTAAATTTGGTCGCAGCAAAAAGTCCTTCCTTTACCACCATCTACACATTAAGGTTGTTCTTCCCTGTAAGTTTAAGCAAAATCTGCCATCCGGTTTAAGAGGAGTTGCGTTCACAAAATTTCTACATAGTATACAGTGAAAAAAATCAACAAAGGGCCATAATTCTCTTAAATTTGGTCGCAGCGAAAATTTCTTCCTTTACTACCATCTACACATTAAAGTTGTTCATCCCTGTAAGTTTAAGCAAAATCTGCCATCTGATTTAAGAGGAGTTGCGTTCACAAGATTTCAGGACGTACGTACGTACGGACGGACGGACAAGTGCAGCGCTATATGCTCCCACTTTGTGGGGGCATAAAAAGAAATATCTATGTTTAATGTTGCGGATGGGAGTAACGGGTGGATATAGCCGTCTGAGATTTTACATTCGGCTAGAAGCTCGGATCATACACATTTCATTCAGGTTAAAATATCCTGTATACCCCGTCAAGAACCATAACAAAAATCAATATTTTAATATTTGTTATACATGTATTTCCATTGAAAATCTATTATTATCTAAGATAAGCCTTTTTCTGTAACAATATATAACTGATACAAATGACAAAATTTATTACGCATATTTTAAAAAATGGACGGTCTGTCTTACATCGTTATTTTTTAACTTTTTTGCATTGCAGAGATCGAATCAGATGTATTTTGCCTGCATACGATTAATGTTACGAAATTTGTTGTGGAATAATTTGGTCAATAATCCAATTGCTTATTGTTAAACGATAACACCTAATAGTATAAGACCAGTTTTAAACAAAATACGGTTCTTCTGACGTGTGCTATCAGCCAGGCTAGATTCCAGATATAAGGCAATTTTGAAACCTCAAAAAGATTCTCTTATTGGTAATAACAAAGATGCACAGAAAGATATTTTGAACATAAAACGGATATCAAACGGATTATACATTTTACCTTTTCATTCAAGATATTGCCAATAAAAGAAAATATCTTTGCGAAAATTAGTTTTTAATTTAAGAATATAAGCTATTTATTTGCTACATGTGTTTTGTAATTTTATCACAGAACGCTTAAAAAATGCCTGTATGAAGAAATGAAAGAAAAATGTTAGTATAGTACCTTAAAAATGAATGGTGAATACATGAAATCACTAAACTGTTAAACAAATGTAATTTTACCCGATTAGTCATTCATTTTCTAACAGTTTAGTTGAAACATGAAACATGAAATTCGACCTTAGAGTAAGTACATTTGCTTACAAAACCTTTTAAATGATCTCCTTTTCAATATATTTACAAAACTTGAATGTTTATTTTGTGATGATATTCCATTGTTATATGTGTGTATGTAAACATAACATAAAACATACATTAAGGAAAGGAAGGTATGATGTGTCAAAACAATTCAAAGGAAATAAGTCGGCAAAAAGTTTTACCAATATTTATATATACATTTTTCAAAAGCCCTACCCTCTATAAAACTGAATTACAAAATTTTAACAAAACATATAATCATATTTTTTATGTTTGTCTTTTAAAACGAGTTTATTGACACCTGTGGTTTCTATGTGATTAATATCTGTTCATACAAACATAAAAATTTCACGTACTTAAGGTAAGGATTGTTCTATACATAAATAATGTGCTCTAGACCTTGAAGTTACATGAAAGTGCAAGAAAACTGTCCAAAAACAGTACCAAAAACAATAATACAATTAAATACATATGGAAAGGAAAGTATGATGTATCTAAACAATTCAAATGAAATAAGTTGGCAAAAAGTTTTACCAATATTTATATATACATTTTCAAAAGCCCTACCCTAGATAAAATTATATTACAAAATGTTAATAAAAACCTCGTTATTGACACCTGTGGTTTCTATGTGATCAAATTCTGCTCATACAAATATAAAAATTCATGTACTTAAGATTGTTCTATACATTAATAATGTGCAAATACCTTCAGAAGACCTTGAAGTTACATAAAAGTGCAAGAAAATTGTCTACATTGCTCCAATCATTTCACAGTTCAATTCTAAGATAATTCTGGAATTGTTTTATAAGGTTTTAACATTTTCGTCAGCCTTGAAATCAAGATAATTTGCAATTAAGATAACCACGTGAAATAATGCCATATTTTCCAATTATTTTTGTCATGATTCTGTCATTTGGCAACACATTTAATTTAAGCTTTTATCACAAATAGACTTTGCTAGATATAAATGAATAAATTAAATAAAGTTTTTTCACCACTTGATGAAAAGATAAAATATTGAGAGTTTTCTCATTCCATACATGTACATGAAAGCACTTGCATTGAATTTTAACCAAAATATTTTTCATGTTATTCCTGAATCTCTGAATTAAGTATATATTTCAAATTAATTGTAAAAAAATTGATATTAAAAATTATGAATTCAAATAAATAATTTAAATTTGCAAAATGCAAAAAATTTAAACAGTTTACTTCAAATGATTTTTGTCTTTTATCTCGCAAAATATGAAAAGGTTTATTAAATAAATATATTTTTGATTTGACCAAATTCATATTAACACTTATAGTAAGAGGTATGTAATTATAGTGTGTACTAACCAAAGTGAGAATTGTCATTTACACCAGAATGTCCTTCATGATATTGAATCTTGAAAGCAAAAAAAAATTATTTCACCATGATTTGTTTTTTCTTAGCCAAGTTATGAACAAAATGGGTTTCAATCGACAAAAGACAATAGGAAAGAAGCAATAAACCTAAATAAGACAATAAGACAATTTAACACAGATTCTGACAAAAATTGTATGTATTATTATAGCAAAATATGAATGGTAATCAACATTACAATGAAAATGTTTACAGCGTTGTTTCTCTGGGTAACAGAATATCATCTGGTCTTGGCCCATTTCCATTTTGGTAAATGTTAACAGATTGTATGTTGTTAAATCTATAATTTACTTTCCCATATTCGTTGTGTTCATAGCGTCGACATCTTCCTTTAAAATACTTCAGGAAGCTTTCTACAAATAGCATATATCATCAACCAATAAATATAAAAGTAAACTGGTATTCAACGGGCATATTTTTATAAGTTTTTCAAATATTGATAAAGTAATTGAAATGCATCGTTTGGATATTCTTTTGTGAAGGAAAACGTTGAGATATAGTATGAACATTTATATGTTAAATATAGCCAGTTTATAATCTGCTAGTTTATGAATACAGATACGTCACATCGGCCACATACGATCAACATAATTATTGATGATATAAGAGGCTTTCCATGATTGACTTATTTACTTTAAAGCAATTCTGTTCATTGCTTAAGCCAAAAAAGTGCATATGGTATTTGCCCTTTTGCCAGGAGACGTAGAAGACACCTTGCATTTAACACTATTGTAACATATCGTATAAAATAGTATGGTTCGAATACAGTTATCAATTTTATATATGGCGTGCGTTTTTACTGATACAATTATTCAATTATCCATTATTAAGACCAAAGGTTTCAGTCCCATTTTTTGTTCATTCTTTGTTTGACCCCATTATATAGACCACTGATAATCTAATAAACCGCTTTTTAGATCACAAATTTATTGTTATCTGCTTGAATGCTCTTAGGGATGACACTTGGTGTAACAAACACTCAAAACAGTTAGGATTAGGTTTTTATATAAGATAACTTGAGAAAACAATGTTACAGTTGTTAAATGATGCTTTCTGCACATCTAATTTTGTGAAGAATTAATTACTCATTTGATTTGATTATGTGCATCACATATTACTTACCACAGACCAAAGAGAATTTAATATTAAGAGCAAAATTCTTCAGAAAAATATGTACTGCACTCATCAGATAAGATATTATAGCATACTTTTACAGTTACTGAAGTATTTGAAAGTTAAGATATAATTTGTTTGTTTATACAAAACAATTAAACAAGAGCTGACACAGAACGTGACAAATGCCCCCGAAGGATTCAAGTTATAAACCACCTATAACATGTTAAGTGTGGTGGTAAAAATTGACAAAGTTCGAACCCCAGCAGTGACCTTTTAGTTAGACAAAATAAACCTTGGTCTTGTTCACAACACATTGTCCATCTATGGTGACTTTATATTTTTAAATAAAAATTGAAACTTTCATGTATATGGAAGTTACAAAGTGGAAACAACAACCACCATTTATATGTATATAACATAAATATTGAAAAAGTTTAAACCCCAGCAGTGACCTTGAACTAAGGCGCAGGAAGATGAGTCTTAAGGGCAACACATCATACATTTATGATACTTTCATATTTGAAATAAAAAATATAATCCTTTCATGCGTATTAGTTTCAGGGCAGACACGACCATCTCTACCTATATGTATATTAACATCAAAATTGACAAAGTGTTAACCCCACAGTGACCTTGACCTTAATCGTAGAAATCCCGAATCTTGTTCGCAACACACCATACATCTATGTTGAATACATATGTAAAAGAACAATTAAAATCTTTTCATACATACTGAAGTTTCAGAGCGGACACGACCACCAACTTCTATATTTATGTAACATAAAAATTTAAAATGACAAAGTTTGAACCCCCAGAGTGACCTTAACCTTAGTCAAAGCAACCAAGGTCTTGTTCGCGACACACCATATATCTATGGTTATTTCATATGTGAAAGAAAACATTAAAATCTTTTCATGCATACTGAAGTTTCAGAGCGGACACGACCACCACTATCTATATAATATAAATAATGACAGAGTTTGAACCTCCACAGTGATCTTGACCTTAGTGGTAGGAACCCGAGTCTTGTTTGTGACACACCATATATCTATGGTTATTTCATATGTGAAAGAAAAATTAAAATCCTTCCATGCATACTGAAGTTTTAGAGCGGACACGACCACCACCTTCTATATTTATATAACATAAAAATGACTAAGTTTGAACCCCCAAAGTGACATTAACCTTAGTCGTAGGAACCCGAGTCTTGTTTGCGACACACCATACATCTATGGTTATTTCATATGTGAAAGATAAATTACAATCCTTCCATGCATACTAAAGTTTCAAAGCGAACACGAATACCAACTTCTATATTTATATAACATAAAAAATGACAAAGTTTGAAACCCCATAGTGACCTTGACCTTAGTCGTAGGAACCCAAGTCTTGTTCGCGACACACCATACATCTATGGTTATTTTATATGTAAAAGAAAATTAAAATCTTTTCATGCATACTGAAGTTTCAGAGCGGACATAATCACCACCTTCTATATTTATGTAACATAAAAATGACAAAGTTTGAACCCTCACAGTGACCTTGACCTTGGTCGTAGGAACCCGAGTCCTGTTCGCGACACACCATACGTCTATGGTTATTCAATATATGAAAGAAAAATTAAAATCTTTTCAGGCATACTGAAGTTTCAAAGCGGACACGAACACTGCTTGTATAAAGCCGTACGGAATGACAGACGGACTGTTCGATTTTAATATGCCACCCTTCGGGGGCATAAAATGACCATTGTCATAAAATATATAAGCAATGATCAGAATATCTACATTTGAAACCCCTGCAATTAAAACCACCTTGGTCCTGTCCTGTTGGTGTGAATAGGGGGTTTTCACTGTATTTACAATCTGTCTTACAGTTTCGTGTTTTGGTGTAATAATTTGATGGAGTCATTTAAATAGATATGTATGTAGTATAAACTAAATCTCGAACCACGATATTGAGGTAAGATATGAGTGAACAATGTAGTGGTAATTACATTCTATTATCCAATCATAAAGTTAGATACTATTATTGATATAATCTAGAAATGTGCTATATTTAGAAAAAAATATTTGAAAAAATTATATCATGATTTCATTGTTATAATTATATAACTTTTATTCTGCATACCATTATAATGAAATTAATAATAAAAATACTTACTACGTTTATAAACACCGACACCAATGCCAATAAATAAAACAAGCCCAGGAAGACCCACTAAAAATTAATACATACAAAATGCGTTTAAGTAACTAAATATATCATAGTATCATAATATATTATTATAAAATGTCATAGTATACTATTAATGGAAAAGTAAGTAAAGAATTTCGCATAGTTACTTCCCTTTGTTTAAAAGTTCCCATTTATGTGTAGCAGGAGATAACTTCCTGTGGAGTCTATTCACCTGTTGATATGTGAAACGTTTAAACAATTTTACAATATTTGCTGATGAAAATTAAGTAAGTGGATATTTCGAGAAGTTGTGCTCTTGTTTTAAATAACATTCATCAAAAGATATGTATCATGAGAGTCTTGCGCAAAGATTTTTCAAAACAACTTTTATAGTGTTTGGATACGGTATAGATATCGGAAAGATTGATAAATGTTTTTAACAGCTTGTTTTTGTACAAATATAACAATTATACAATCTTTATTATCCTTTTTTGAATCAAGATCGTGCTACTCTAATAGGAATCTGCCTAACTAAGAAAATGAATACAGACAATGCTTAAACGCATGATTATCATACATTGCAGTTAAGTCAGATTTTATACGTCTTTTAAATGTTAGACAACTTTTAAAGTAATCATCCATCGACCATGACACGTAAATAATATGTGTATTCTATCTTTTCAGATAGATATAGTACAGCAGCTGTATCTATGTATTTATCTAAGTATCTAATCTTATCTTATCTAACCTAACTATATACTTAATCGACCTACCTAGCTTACTATCAATCAATTTAAAATGTCTAGAGCAATGCAATTTAGAAGAAATTTTCAAAACATAAGTGTTCAACATGCTTTACTTCTCTGTCAAAACATCTATAAAAACTATCAGAAATAAACAATTCTTTCTTTGTATTCATACCTCCATGAGTGTTTTGTACCTATCAAGGGCACAAGAGAAAGATTTGTGATCGTTATCCATTAAGACCAAAGGTTTCAGTCCCATTTTTTGTTCATTCTTTGTTTGACCCCATTATATAGACCACTGATAATCTAATAAATCCCTATTTAGATCACAAATTTATTGTTATCTGCTTGAATGCTCTTAGGGATGACACTTGGTGTAACAAACACTCAAAACAGTTATGATTAGTTTTTTATATAAGATAACTTGAGAAAACAATGTTACAGTTGTTAAATGATGCTTTCTGCACATCTAATTTTGTGAAGAAATAATTACTCATTTGATTTGATTATGTGCATCACATATTACTTACCACAGACCAAAGAGAATTTAATATTAAGAGCAAAATTCTTCAGAAAGATTTTTTAAAACAACTTTTATAGTGTTTGGATACGGTATAGTTATCGGAAAGATTGATAAATGTTTATTAACAGCTTGTTTTTGTACAAATATGACAATTATACATCTTTATTATCTTATTTTGAATCAAGATCGTGCTACTCTAATAGGAATCTGCCTAACTAAGAAAATGAATACAGACAATGCTTAAAACGCATGATTATCATACATTGCAGTTAAGTCAGATTTTATACGTCTTTTAAATGTTAGACAATTTTTTAAGTAATCACCCATCGACCATGACACGTAAATAAAATGTGTATTCTATCTTTTCAGATAGATATAGTACAGCAGCTGTATCTATGTATTTATCTAAGTATCTAATCTTATCTTACCTAACCTAACTATGTACTTAATCGACCTACCTAGTTTACTATCAACCAATTTAAAATGTCTAGAGCATTGTAATTTAAAAGAAATTTTCAAAACATAAGTGTTCAACATGCTTTACTTTTTTGTCAAAACATCTATAAAACACTATCTTTATAAAATTAGAAATAAACAATTCTGTCTTTGTATTTAACACCTCCATGAGTGTTTTATACACAGTCTGGTAATCCATCAAGGGCACGAGCGGAAGAATCGTTACAATACTAGTACTGAAAGTGATTGTCTGGCAATAATACTAATAACTTTAGAAAATAAATTACAAATCACAAAATTGCACAAATTGAAATGATCGATTTTAAACGTCTGCTCATTAATTTTAACGATAATGACAACACATATCCCGATGAACATGCATTTAGATGGCAACATTATTATTTAATTAACTAAACCAATGATTTTTTTGTGACAGTCCTTTAATCAATTAAATATTACTCAAATAAAAAGAGTCAAAATACTTACATAATACATTTCCCCACCACGGAAATGTACCACTTGTTTCGCCCTCATGTTCATTTACTTTGTTACTTCCGTCTAAAACAATCAGTTTCTGACATTAAAAAACAGAGGTCAAACTAGAAAACTCGATTACTAAATAAATGTAATTATTCTTGTATAATTGTAATATTTCTTCCCCTTTTTTATAAGCATTAGCGCATTTTCATTTTCAAATTGATACAATTTGTAAGTGTATAATTATTTTTGTTTCAACTAATCAGTTATTATATGATAATACATTTATTTAGTAATCATGTTCAAAGTGCATTTGACCTTTAAGTTCACGCTTAAAAGTTGCATTTTAAATGCCCCAAATCACGAAAAGGTTATGGTCACTGAGTTTAGATACTTTGTCGATGACTATGCTATAGTTATGTGGCACTCAATGAATTTGAATTCTACCATGTAATGTATTCGAAAAGTGAATGCAGTATGCAGGTTTCGATTACTTTGTGTTTTATTAAGGTACCTGTCTACTTTTGAGATTATAATAAGCGTTAGATACAAGCCAAATGCCGTATTAGACTAACGGACGAAAAAACAAAGGTGTTATTAAAAAGATTTATACTGACTTTCCTTATCCGACAACTGACATGAAAATCATAATAAAAAACATCAAAATATAGGGCACATTTAAGTTTTTCTATAAATACAGGATTTATTTTCATCGGGTGGAATGGGCCACAAGTGAATAATGGTAATTTTCATACCACAAGATGAAAATAGAGGTTTTCTTTATTATATACAATTTTCTCTTTTTAGGCATTTCAGAAAGACTTCCCCAAAAATTTTGTAAATTGGTTGAATCTGCAAGGAAGTAGTCCGGCAAGATACCAGTGAAAATATGGAAAATATGTTTCAATGCAGTAAAAACATATTTTTTTACAGTGAAAATAATGAAAATGAAAACTTTTATTTTATCAATATGTCTCAATATTTCATTTAAACGTATATAATAAAGTAGTTATTGGGTAAAGTAATGTCATTTTTCGATGATGCATAAAGAAAAAGAAATAGGCAGAAAAATATACCTGTTGTTATTTTCTGTGTGGTGATACGACTTGCAAGAGAACCATTGGCGGTCGATGGCACTATTTTTGAAGTCGATAGTGTTGTAGTAGTCATAGGTGCAGTTGATGAGAATCTATTGGTGATATTCCTTAAAGCATGTAAACAGATTAAAGATGACTAACAAAGTTTTGACCATATCAAATTTATGTCTTCACACCATATATTGATTTGTTTTTGAGTATACTTGAAAAATAAATATTACTTTTAATCAATCTACATCTTCTTTAGACTAATAGTCTAATATGTGCTTTTTGAAACACGAATAGTAAATATATCTTTGCTTGTGTGTAAACGTTTGCATTTCATAAATCATTGAATCAATCATAAAAACAATTTTTCACTTTATGAATTATTCAATCTAGTTATAATGGATGGTTTTAAATAAGTCTTCATTGCAGTATTTTGTCAAGTGATATATATTATTATTGATACCATTTAAGAGATATTCCCCATATATCATTTTATTAACCATTTAGTACCTACATTTAAAGGAACTGACTAAGATTGATGTTTCAAGAGTAGACATAGCATGCTGGTAAATATTAACAAAACATGCTTCACATACATATTGTTCCTGTAGTGAAATTGTTAATTACCAAAGATAGTGCAAATTGTCAGAAAGCAATTTCATATAACCATGTTATATTTTAATCACTTACATTTTTTTACAGTGAAAATCTGGTGGACTTCTGTCAAAGCCATGTTCACATTCACTGACACAGCGTCCATCTGGGAAGAAGTTTTTTTGAATGGATAACAAAGCATGTAGAAATGTGAATTTATATTAAACTATTGGTGGATTAACAATTCTGTCGTTCAGTTAAATCAATACTTTTCACATGAACAAAGAACGTAATTATTAAAAATTATATTCAATTTTGTTCTGTTGTCTTTGAAATTAAACAGAGCGACATTTTGATGACACCTACGAAATGTATTTATCATTTTTTGAGAAAATTGACCTATAATATAATATAATATTAAATTTGGGCAAACTCTGTCAAAATTTTCTTTTTTACTATTAAGCATGACATGTATTTTGCTGAATTAAAGCATACAGCTGACATTAAAAGTTTAGCTAAGGAACAGTTATCTTATAAGTTACCTGGTAGGTGAAATTGGCCATTCTGGCACTTGTTTTCATTCAAACAAAAGTCTGGATTCCAAATAAGATCCTGGTCAAAATTCAAAGTGAACTTTCCCTCTGGGTTGTAGTATCCCTTCTTGTAATTACAGTAAACGAAAGTTGGATTTACATTGTCCCCTTCAGAGCTCACTGCAAATCTTTCACCAAGATAAGCCATATCTGTATGTTTGTACAAACATGCTTGAATACAGTCAGAATCAGTTGGCTGAAAGGTGCCGATAGGACAGTCAACCTCTTCAAGATGAACAATATCTCGGAGCTGATCGTCCCGTCTTGTGATAATCTTACGTCCTGAATACAAACACATATTGAGTAGTATATCTTAAATCAGATCACGTGCACTTGCAACATGCAATTTAGCTAACCTTTAAGTTAATATAAAACTACCCCAATGTATTGTGAATCTATTCAAGCAACATACACGTGTTTTTCATACCATTAACAAATAAACTGGAGAAAATGTTTCATAAATTGTCTCATTTTAGAAGAGTATTAAGTAAACAATTTTAATCAAATATCTATGATTTTTACTTCTGAATTCTTATTAAAAAGTGGATATGATAGGATCGTAAAATTCTAACCATCTCATGCTTTATTTGTTTACCTGTACTAACAGATTATAATTCTAAAAAGTCTAACCTTTCGAACAAGATAACCCTCTCTGTAAGCACACATACACACCCACTTTTTCAATATTTAAACATACGGGATGTTCGTCTGAGCTACACTGTTTATGAAATTCACAGAAATCAAAGATCGTCAAGTTGTGATCGATTCCATTTGTGTGACATTTCGATTTCAATGAATAGAAGTTGTCATGATTGCATGTTTTAGATGTAAGCAGCTTTTTTGTGTCTTGCTTATCTAAAGGAATGGCATTTGCTCCACGTAGTATAACTATCGTCCATAACAGGACCTGAAATATAAAACAACATTTTAAGACATTACGTATTTTAAAAAACTAGTTTTTGTTATACGAGTCTTTTATTTGAGCATCTTTATCTGGAACTTGTATTTTGGCTCTCATGGTTTGCACTAGGGGGTGCGTAAACGGATTTGTTTAAGTAAAATTAAGATACTCTAATAATAATCCTTTTATTATATACCTTGCAAAATTAACACTATATATTCAATCCTTCATAACGACTGCAACGTAATTTCGGATGACGTTCGAGTGTAATTACAGATTTATTTTGTCGGGTCGGGTTATATTTGTAATACATGCATTAAATGTAGAACAAACAATATCAGGCATGAAATAGTTATAAATATTAAACAACTGCCAATATCCATTTCCTTTTACTTTACGTAAAATTTATTAAATATTTCAAACATCCAAGTCGAAGGGCATAAATGCTTTACAAATATCTTATTCATTAGAGATAATCCGAAATGTCTCTAAGATATAAAACAATCCTTGAGAAATTAATAAACTTCAGGATAATTCAATGACATTGAAAATGAAACATTTACCTTCAGGAACCAGAAAACCCATCCATGCATCTGGGTTATTTGGGTTTTCCTCTTTTCATCAATGACATTTAATTTGTCTCCTTTCTGTTCCTACAAAATAACCAAAATGACTTTAAATAAGTATTCAAACATTTAGATAATTTTGATTTCTTCATGCATCTTCTGTAAAACTCCTGTATTTAAACCTTAATGATCTCTCAACTTTGAAAATTGCTATTTTATAATGATAAAATGATACAATATTAACAGTTTTGGGCCTTAAAGATCAAGCATTTCTACTCAGGCAATAATTGACATTTATTTCGACATGTGTTATTCGAATAAGAAATACTAGACTGCTATTGGTTTTAATTGTCAAAATAAGACCACAAACAGCCTGAATAACATGAGAATCTCCCTCCTTTTTTATTTGTGTACGATTGTCAACTTCAACTTGATCTGTGTCATCCTTTTGATGAGTGCATGCGTCAATCATGTGTTCATTAGCCATTTGTAAAGACTTCTTTTCTGAAATTGAAAGAAGGAAAAAACATTTCTTAAAATGTGCTTACTTATATTACCTTTGATATAATTCGATCATTACACACATGAAGGTGTCCATTGTCTCAGGACTGCAGTTGATATACAAAAAAAATATATATCTAACTTATAAGTGTACTTACACATTACAAAGCTAAACTGTAAACCTTATGTCTGGGAAATTATGCGCGACTTATATATCTTCTCATTGTAATGTGTACACATACAAACAACCAATCACTTGTATCTATCGACTGTCGCCAACTCTTGTTCAATCTTATTCTAAAATTGATCGTTTCATTAATACGACTAACACAACATTTTTTTTTAATAATTCTAAACTACATGTACATGATGTACTTGAAAAGAATACTTTATTTGCAATGAGTTCTGAAAGTGTCTTACCGTCTAATTTGCCTTCACATACATGTATACTATACATCCATTGTTGTATATGTTCGACCAAAACTTTCACATGCAGTTTGCAGTCCATGATAATAACTTCCATCATTGTTGTTTTCGTTTCCAGGTATATAAGGTATATAAAGTATCCATGGGTCATCATATCAAGCTTGTTTTCAACAGAAAATCCAATGCTGTTTTTATATCTGGTAGAGCATGAATTTTTCACTGAAAGTGCTCCAACCTTGATAATGAGAATGTAACAATATAGTCTAATTATATTTTAAAGATCCTGTATGTTTTGTGATTGATATTGTTACTGTGTGTATTTTTAATGCGTTTATTCAAGGTCGCCTCCGGAAAGCCGATATGGGCGACCGTACACTCAAGTCGGGTCCCGCCGAGATTTTTTCGTCGATTTTTTCCAGCTTTTATTGGTGGAGGAAGACCCAAAGTGCCCCTCCGGGCATTATTTCAGGCACGAGCGGGCACCTGGGTAGAACCACCGACCTTCCGTAAGCCAGCTGGAAGGCTTCCTCAATGAATGAATGAATGAAGTTAAAGCTTAATGAGGGTCCATCCGCCCTTTCGGGCACAAATTGCAGCTTGCGCTGTCGAGTACGGACCCTGGACATGTCACCAGTCATGTCCTTAAAGAGTTAATTTTGAAGCACAAAGTGGTGATAATTTACCTCCATGCATTTTCCACGGAGTATATATGAATTTTGAGCCAAAAGTAGGTCACTGTACGGCGGTCAATTAGAACCTAAATGTACAGTAACCTGTGACAATAGGAAAGGTCTTTAGCCCTGAAAAAGGCTGTTTGCGCCAGCTATAGGCCTGCCTTTCAAGCCATTTAACAAGCTAGGGGCTCACGCACCTTAGCACACTGTTCTCGTCGACCCAAGCGCCTACTTTTTAGGGCCACTCCCCTTGGCATTATGGCTTCCTCACACACTTGCAAAAGTTATATATGTATAAAATTATGCAAATAAAACAATTTTCAAACATCGAAGAATGTGTAAAATGTGTACTGCAAATATTTGTGCACATTACATTTTATCAATAAATTACATACATTCATTTCTTATTGGAAAATTTGACATAGAATTTATAGAAAATAAATTTCTTATTACCTCCCTTTATTTATATGAAATGTTAAATTGGGAAATATCTTTATAAATTATGCTTATTGGAACTTAAAATATTGACAAATCTTAATTTGGGCATCATATTCATGAAATAAAACCATGAAAAAATTGTGTTACAGGATCTTTAACAAATAAAATAAAACAGAAAAATAAGTTATGTAAAATATCAACAGTGTGAAACTATTCAGATAACATAAAAAACTATGTCAAGGGATGAAATTTAACACCACTTTCGAGACAACTTATAAATCTACTTATAAATAAATACGTTTGAATAACTTACTTAAATCGTACAAAACAGTTTAAAGTTGTTATCTTAAAAAATGTTAATTTACGATATTTAATTAACTTTAGATAAAAAATAAATTCATGAACAATTAAATAGAATACGTGTTGTTGGGTTTTTCTTTGAGGGGAGGGGTACGATAAACTACGTTAACTTTTAGCTAATACCTGTAATTTGACAATATAACGGTTTCTGCTATGAGCATGTTGTATTAGATTTCTTCTGTGTCCACATATTATGTTTGTGACATCTGTCATACCTTAAACAAAGTAGTGGAGATAATTGAGGTTAAATGAATGAAGTCACTTATATTTAGTGTCAGTCTTAAACATTTAATAAAAAGAATTCTTTTGGAACGAAACTAAGGTAAATGCTACAAATATTTTAGTCACATTTTATAAAGCTAATTAATGGATACAAATCTGTCCTGATTCAGTCGATTTTGATGAATTAGAAATAGATATACAATAATATATTTATGTAAAAGATATATGACCTCCCTGTTGCAAGTTGAGAAACATAAATTATAGTTCAAGTAAAACGTGTCTTTTTATTTAATAATTAGTAAAATAAAACAAATCTTAAATGATGTCTAATCTTGGTTGTTTACACGACTTTTGACACGGTACAGAAATTATCTGATAAAACGACCGGTTATCAAGAGGTTACGTTTACACTAACAATTGCAAGATTAAATCATGCAATATGTGAAACACCCTTCTAAATATCATTGATACACCGTTATTCAATATCATTACATACTTTTGTTATCTGCTGACACAATGTCATCCAGTTTTTGAGCAGAGGAGACCTTGTTGCTTGTTAGCCCAGGCGGTGGGCTTCTTGAAGCTTGGATGGAGTCTATTTCGTATTCCAGACTTTTAAGCTCGTATAATAATATCTTAAGAAAACAAAAATTAGATAAATAATGTAATACGAGTTTCAATGTTATATAAGTATATTAACATACTAAGTCTTGTATATGTTTTAAAATTTCAAATGTCATAATTATATCTGTTGTTAAACTCCAACGTCATGTTATAAACATTGTTACGTTTATTTTTCATACAGTACTATGTCAGAAGTTCGAAAATGCATACAATCCATCTTTGTTTGTTCTTTTATAACAAATGTACATTTTGCGTTCAGAATCTTCATATATACTGTTATCTACTGCCTTTCTTTCAATGGTTTAAACATATTTATTTAAGCTTGATTGCGAAACAAGCTCTTGCAACTTATATCAATGATTTTTGAGTCCGCTTTCTGGAACCAACCAGTACTAATGTCATATGAAGAACATGGTCGTGACTCGATTAGGGCTCGAACCCATGATCTCTTGGTTGAGAAGCAGACATATTAACCACTAGGCCACCGCTCCTCTTTCAATAATAATATGTAGAATTTATTATTGATATCTTTTTTAGTTTAAACATAGTAAAATATATAAATATACAACGGCAAATTGAAAAAAATAAATAAAAATATTTACATTTATCCTGTCATGTGATATCTCATAAAATGAAAACTCCTTTTGGTCCTTTGAGTCCATGTCTCCAACTGGTCCATCTGCTGACATGAAAGAAAATAAATCAATTTTGACCATTTTGCTCATCATAAAACGTATAACGGTTATCGTGATATTTGATAAGAAATGTAAATAAAGTCACGAGAGTGGTTTGAGTCGTTAAATTCAAACCACTTGCCTTGTATCTTCACCAAACCTGGAAAGTCGCCAAATTATCTACATTGTGTTGGTGCAACGTATCCCTCACCCTAAGAAAAGTGAATTAAGTTAAGCTGTGATGTTCAGTTTAATGAAGAAACATAGGAAAAACTACCAGATTTTGATTACTTTTTATCGGAATATCAATATTAAACAATCATGCTCACATTTCTCAATCAGATCGTCGTTATTTGAGTGACCTTTGTTTATTTCTAAAGCAAACTCATACAGTTGTATATGTTCACGACTTCCATGTGAAGGTATCTAAATTTTGAAATTGATATTTATTAAAACATTTCAAAACACAAGTTGCTTTAATACAATTCAATTCTTTAATTCATTGAAAAGGCAATTACAAGTACATTAAAGCGATTTACACAGTTTTAATACTTAATGAATTATGCTGTTGCAATTGTAGTTATACAATTCAAATAAAGAAAACAAAATACCGAAACTACAAAAATTCAAATACATTCTGTTTAGGAAAAGAAGATATTGATTTATTAAAGACATTTCTTAAAAATATGTATTTGTGCTTATAAAGCTGGAGTAGTACATTTTAAAAGACCTAGACGAAATTATCATCAGGGTGAAATAAGTCGGCATATACTCGTACATGCGTTTTTTTTACTGTAATATGTTTGTAAACACTTTTGTTAAGGAATGGTGTAAACATAATAAATATTTAATACTTACTAGGTTCTGGTAAAATTGCCTTAATCTACAGACATCAATCAATGTCTGCGGCCGACAAGTTTGGAGGAAATCACTACGCTTTGACGTTAGGTTTTCTGGCATTAATGTCCTGACAGAGTTGAAAGGCATCTTGATCATTTTCCCGTAGGAGATTTTATCAAAACTGAAATTCTCATCGTTTATCATCTACAATGATCAAATGTACTTTTGTTACAAATACAGTATAGTATTTATATTTGTGAAAAGAAAAACAAAGACAAGAAACGTTACAATCCATACTACTTCAAGTGTTTTGCTTTATTTTTTAACTGTTTACAGGAACAAAGAGAATAGTTGGGGTAATCGAAGCTATTCACTTGATTACACTGTCTTCAATACAACTTTAATAATCGCTATTTCAAACACACTCGCGATAAAATAATCATTAGGTTATCTTTATTAACTTTAAAAATAGCGCTATTGCTTCACATAACAAGCAAATAACAAGTTTCAAAACCATTATTGAAACGTTATTTCATTTATGTTTGTATCTAAAACAATATGTCATTCATTACAAAGCATAACAAGCTTGATTAGTTAATTTCAAGATTAAATGAATATAAAATCCTCAGTCATGTGTTGTTACGTAAAGTATAAGCTTTCTATCCATTATTACATGTATTAACCTAATCCCCGGATTGCAACCCTATCAATGTTGAAAAGCTATACCTTAATAAGTCAACATTATTTGTTTGTTAATATTCTCATGTACATTTATTATTATAACTTAACTTAAATAGGGTTTACAGTTTTACGTCACACCAGGACAGTATAGGTCATATGACGACGTTCCAGCTTTATTGGTGTAGAATGACCTCAGGTGCCCTTACGTACATTATTACAAGCACAAACCGGCACCTGAGTAAAACCATCGACGTTTCGTAAGCTATCTGGATAGTTTCCTTACATGAATGAATGATGAGGGGTAAGTGGTCTTAAATAAGGTTAATCACAATTAAACAACTAAAATATACCTTAAGATTCTAATATCACTGACTTGTCTAGGCCAAGTTTATAAAAGATTTAAGTACACACACTTTTAATCTGATGAAACTTATAACCCGTATTGAATATGCCTGACAAAATACATAATTTGCTGCCAAATATAGACATCCAATATAAAAAGACATATTTAATGTTCCATTACGTATAAAAATCTTCGTAATTGGAAAAACCTAAGACGGCTATTGGTACTTTGCGAAACGGAACGAAACGAAACGGAACGGAACGAGGGGCACCATATAGGGAAATTTAGAATTCTAGTTTTAATTTGGAAAATCAATATAATCATAATAGTAAATAAAATGAACTCTTTATAATCATAGTCGAATGATGTTTAATGTCCAATGAAACTCATAATACGCAAAACATTAATTTTTAATTAATCTTGTTCCGTTACGTTACGCAAAGTACCATTACCCACACGGGTATTGGTATTGTGCGGAACGGAACGAAACAAAAATTAAAGGGGTTAGATATATCGGTGAAAAGGAAATAATCTTTTATTTGTAGTTAAAAGCATAACACTGAATGATTATAAATCGAACATCTGTTAATTAACGAGCACATTTGTATATGAACCAGAGAGCAACCTTATATTATTAAAATTTTACCGGTCCGGATATATAAAGTCTTGTCAACAGTACTAAACATAAGCTGTCGAATGAGGAAACTCACGCAGCACGTAAGAAATGAAATTAAATTCGAATTCGCGCCTTGTTTCGTTCCGTTACGCAAATTACCAACACCCATACAGGTATTGGTACTTTGCGAAACGGAACGAAACGAGAAAAAAATAATTCATTCATATCTTATACCATTCGGAACTGCCTCGGCCATTATCTACAATATTGACAGAAGACTGACGGAAAGGGCCGAGTTGTTGCGATTGATCTTATACTCGTTTATGCTTGCATGCACAATAATGATCGCAAGGATTCGAAGTCAACATTGTTCAAGTAATTTGCGACAGCTCATCAAGTCCATTACTTATTACTGGTACCATGCAACCCTTTAGTTAAAGTAAAGGCACATTTTCTTATTTAATGTGGCTAGTCCTTTGAATGGACGGAACAACTTATTTCCGGTCGTGCCCACGGTAGGCGACATATGTATACCTCCCTAGCATCCAGTCTAGGCCGATACTCTGAAAACAATACCCATTTAAGTAATTCACCGAGCACTGAACACCAGTCGTGATGTCGGCTGCGGCCGGGAATCAAACTCAGGCAGCTGTTGTTGTATTCCAACCTGCTACCCACTGCTCTACTGACTCCCTATGTTTGAATAATGTCCATACTCTCATACTTTCATAGATACATCTACCTTCATAAATGACCTCGACATGCAATACTGCCGGGCATATTAAATAGTCATTTATGGTTTTATATATGTACTTATAATTGCCGTGCCTGGACCTGCAAGTCGCCATTCTACATGTATGTTATTATATTATGGAAAATTTGTGTTTGTGAAGGGAATATTGTTTGCATATTTCCTTGCATGTACATGCGTGTTATAAAAATGATTATTCTTCAAACTACTATTTATCTATTTTTATATGAATTCTTACTATCAGCATCGTGAATTACATAACACATTTGTAACCAAATTAGGGGTCTATTTATATTTTGTTTCGTTCCGTTTCGCAAAGTACCAATACCCACACCGGACTTGGTACTTTGCGAAACGAAACGGAACGAGCAAATTTTACTATATAGAGGAATATTAAATAATCGTTTATATAATGTATATTTGAACTGAAATTCGATTATCATATATTTTCTTTCTAATTCTATCGTATTTATCAGCGCCTTAAATCACATAATACCTTTGTGACCAAATTAGCTGTTCCTATCTCGTTTCGTTCCGTTTCGCAAAGTACCAATACCCACACAGGTATTGGTACTTTGCGGAACGGAACGGAACGGAACGAGAACATTTTATGAAATATTTCAGGCATTCATATCTTATGATCGTTTATGCGTGCCTGTACAATACAGGTCGAGCCATTGTTTTTTTTAAGTAATTGACAACAGCTTTAAAACCAAGCCATAATCCGAAATTACTGGTACAATGCAACATGCTGTAACTATATACTGTATATATACATATCTACTTATCATCATAGAAACATGTACCTTCATAGGATGCCTCGACATGCAAATAGAGCCGCATATTGCCGCCTTCAAAAAAATCCTATCTTATCTTACATATTGAATAATCATTTATGGTTGTATTGTAAAATTGCATGCCAGCATCCAAAAGTCGACGTGTTTGTCTAGAGATAAACATGATTCTTTGTCAATTTATATTTAATTATTATTGTCTGCATCTTGAATTACATAATAAATATACAGGCATAACCAAATTAGCCCTTTCTCGCTTCGTTCCGTTTCGCAAAGTACCAATACCCACACAGGTATTGGTACTTTGCGAAACGGAACGAAACCAGAGAATATTATTTTATTTACATGAAAGTTTTCAATAATATCGAATAATCGGTTAACGTTTACATGTGCTTATTTGTATAACTGCCGAGTTTGGATCTGCAACTCATCTTTTTATGTATGAAGGAGAATTTGTAAGTTCTTGAAGGGAATACAGTTCGCATAGAGATTCTTACATATAACTGTAACTGTAATGAAAAATTATTTTCCTTCTTATTTTACTTTTTATAGTCACTCAGCATCTTAAATTACATAAAACATATATAACCATGGTCATTTCCTATCTGGTTTCGTTCCGTTTCGCAAAGTACCAATACCCACACTGGTAATGGTACTTTGCGAAACGAAACGGAACGAGTTTTTTTTATAAATATAGTTTTGGAATTTATAATAATCGTTTATGCTTGCATGTGCAATAATGGTTAAGCCTGGATCTGTAAGTCGTTGGTTTTTTTTTTCATCTTTAAAAAAACATTAACGGAAAGTACGGGTAACACACTGTAAATTATATACACACACCTACGTATACGATCCTTTATAGGGAAACATGTAACTTTATTAGATGCGTCGACATCGACTTGCAATAAAGGGCCTCCATGGCCGAGTGGTTAATGTCGCTGACTTCTAACCATTTGCCCTTCATTGATTTGGTTAGAGCCTCAGTCGGGGCGTTCAATTCATCATGTGAGGAAGCTTTCCAGCTGATTTGCGGTAGGTCGGTGGCTCTACACATGTGCCCTTTCGTGATGAAATCATGCACGCACGGTCACCTGGGTTCTTCCTCCATTCTCCACCGCCCGTGATGAAAAGTCGCCATATGACCTAGAATTGTATCTGTGCAAAGTTAACCCAACAAATAAATTGACATGTAATAGAGTCGCACATGTCGAATAATCCTTAAATGTTATACCTATTATTATAATCTAAATTTTTAATTGTAAATTGTTGTATATTAAAACATAATTTAAAATGCTTACATCTCTGTATATGTGTTCCCCCCCCCCCCAATTTCATCAATTTACATAGGGTAAGGTCAATATCATTTAATGAACAAATATTATAATATACATAATAAATGGTAGATGTAAATGCAAAACTTGAACAGGGATATACATGTATAAATAATTAAGCAAGCGGTTATATTTGGTAGCTCAAAATCATTAAAGATTTAATAATGACAGAAAAAAACTTGTAATATTTGGTTTGATAACATTTTTATAAAGTTTACAGCTCTATGATTTGGAAAAGTTCCGATGCCTGCAAAGATATATACCTATCTTTCTGCTAGTAAAACGAGAATTATACATGTACATGTATAAATGTAACGAATTCCAAGGTTTCAGTCAAAGTCTTCATAAATGATCTTGACCAATACTGTTTCAAACGGCTTCATTGTAACATAAAAGGAAACATTTACTTTCAGGCAATTAATCGGGTATTTGACAGGTAACAGTTGGCATTTATCATTTAACAGTAAGCATTAATAAGTCGCTGTAAGCATTAAGCAGTTGAAAGTAAGCAGTTGACAGTAGGAAGTTGAAAGAAAACAGTAGGCAGTTGTCAGTAAACAGTTGGAATTCCGTACTCATTTTATCCAATATAAAATAAGTTCCCAGATTCTCATCAACACCCGGCAAGAAAAATCATGAAAAGAAAAAGAAAAAAGTTTATAGCTAGAATTTTACATTTACATCGATA